AAAAGAAAGAGAGAGCTGACAAGTCTTGATTATTGGTATTGCTTTCATCACCTTCACGTTCTTCATCTCAACTGTTGGTTGTAACCTTGACAGTGATGCATACAATCATGTTCAGACCAGATATGTTTTCTTGGTATGAAAAGCATGTTGAAATATGTAAGAAACAAGAATGAAAACCAAATAAGTTAAGAGCAAAGCAACTTGAAGAAATGTAATTAGTGTACAGAAAAGAGAGTATTTGAGGGTTCACTAGATTTGATGAGCACCGTAAAATTTTGTGGAGAAAATACTGGATTCCAGCTCCAATCATCTCATCTTCATGGCATTCTTCATCTCCTCCTAGCTATGAGGATCATAACCACATAAAAGCTATTGAGACCGGCTGTGCCTCATGAGTGATTAATTGTTAGGTGCAGAGAGAAATCGTTGCCAGTTTCTCTTCACTCCATATATTGATTTCATTTGATGTACGCTATTGCATCAAATAAGTATTAGTTGTATAGATATTTTATTGAAAACCATGTATCATATGTTTTAGAGTTTAGAGAAAAAGGGTTTGAAGAGTCATACCATCTTCTGGGTTTTTTGGTAATTGCAAGAAATCTTCTACCTTAAAACCACGAGCAATAAGACTCGGCGGAAAGATTGATCGGTTAGTTTTAAAACTATATATGATATATGGGACTGGTAATTTAGCATTCTAGAAAAAAAGAACCACACAAGGAAAGCTAGCTCTTCAACCTCTTCAAAAGTGTGTGTAGTTTTGTAGGTTCCCAATAAAAACCAAAAGATAGGCCAACATTTGTGCTAGTTAGCTGGAGTGTTCATGACATGAGATCCTGACTTGTAGCAAATGTTATTACAGCCGTCAATAGGAAAGCAGGTTCCTAAAATGTTGGAGAGCCAGAAGTTGTCAGGTCTTCAGATTCGATCATAAATAATCAGCAGAATAGCAACTGCAAAAACACTAGAATCTCTAATCTGAAATGAAGTAACTTCTATGCTTAAAAACTTGATTAATAAAGAAGAAAACAGATCAAATCTATCAATCTTTTAAGAGTTTGGTAACTTAATGTCTTGAGTTCAACTTAATACACTTTACATATATATACATATGAATCATTTTACACAAAAATAATTTTTCATTTTTTTTAGGGTATTTTCTATTTTGCCTATAAGGCAGAATCTCAGATCAGGGAATGCTAGACAAAACTCCCCGCAGGCTTTGTTTGGAAAATATTTATTGATGAATATTGTTATAAGACCTATATTTGGAAATGTGACTCAAGATGGCAGGTGAAACTTGAAAGGTTTTATTAGATCAGTTCTTTTTTCAGGTCAACAAATCACTGCAGAAAAAAAAAAAAAATCAACGCAAACTTGGTTACAACTATTCATATGACGGCAACTAAATATGTAGACAAATAAGAAAGGCTAAAGCAAACAAACATGCATATGAGATGCACAATTTTTACGTGGAAAACCTCCTCGAATAGAAGGGCAAAAACCACGGGAATAAAAGATAGCTCCACCATGTCAATGTAGTGTTACAAAATCATCTTCAAACAATCAAATAACAGCACAAGGAAAGGGAAAACAAGTAGTACAAGAAGAAATTTGAGAAAAAATGAGAATGAAACAGGTACAGGTTTGGATAATAAAACACATCTGCTTGAAGACACTTTTATGAGCCTCAGTAAATTTCCGCCATAGCTTTTCCAAGACAAAGAACAGAGGCACTGAAGAAACAAGGGTTCATTTTATTCTTTAGAAATGAATCAAAGCAAAATAAATGAAATGCAATCAACACAGTTTAATTTGTGCTTCATAATCACGACCTTTTCTTTTGGTTTTTTTTTTTTTTTTTTTTCTTGTTCACATTCTCCGTCTCCAACCACTCCTCGCATTTTAGAAAGTGAAGCATATAATCTTGTTGCATCTGTTTCAAGACATGAATCAAAATGGCACTGCTACATGCATTCTCGAAAACATATTTTTGGTATAGTGGTATGAGAAGCAAGATGAATATGTCAGAAATAAGAATGAAACAAAATAAGTTAAGAACATTGCAACCTGAAGAAAATATGGTTAGTTTAAAGAAAAGAGAGAATTTGAGGACAAGGACTTACCACCATTGATGAACACTGAAAAATACTGGATTCCAGCTCCAATAATTCTGTCTTCATCGCATTCCTCATCTCCTCCTACATATGAGCAGAGTAAGAAGTCAAGGATATATCAGAAGCTCCCACTGAAATAGAATTGCTAACAAGCTAAACTATGATTTAACATGCAAACCCAAAGTCATCAATTTATAAGTCATCAAGCTAAACTCCCACTTAACACAGGTATTATAAAGTAAGAAGGCAAAGCACTAGTGAATAAGAACAAAAGAGAGTTCATTTTATCCAATTTGTGCCTTCAGTGTCTATCATCATAACCCCTTCTTTGACTAAGAGTCCATTAAATGTAGAAGTATAACCAAATAAAAGAAATTGGGAAAAGAAGTAATAAACCTTTCAAAAGGCACTTGGCAGTTACATTATCTTCAATAAAAGCAGCTGAGACAGAAGTTTTTCTCTGATTAAACCATTGTTTGATAAATCCTTGAAAGAAAACATCTCATCTGTTCAATATCTTTAATTAATGGATGCTGATGGTTGGCCTTTTTACTCATTCCCATCAATTACATCTACATCGCAAGATGAAAATATTGGAATGCTTTTTAAAGAGGAAAACTTACAAAGTCATAATTCTATCATAACCACATTGATGCTATTGAGACCGTTCTACACACAATAACTTGGTGCACAGGGATCTGATTGCCAGTTTCTCTTCACTCCATTTGTTGATTGCATGTCCATTATTACATCATCAAACTCTAAGTTGTAAGAGAATTTATTCAAAACTAGGTATAATATGTTTTAGATTCAAAGAAAAAGGTTTGAAAAACCATACCATCTTCTTCAGTTGTTGGCAGTTGAAAGAGATATTCTACCATAAAACCACGAGACCCTGAGAAATGGTAGAAGAGTTGATCTGTTGGTTAATTCCAAGTAAAATTCAATGGTTTCCTCACTACTGCAAAATGTGTGTACACAATCTATGGCACCAGGATCTGTAGGTTCCAAGAAAAACTGAAAGGACTGCCACCATCATTTATACTAGTGAAGCTACCGTGCTCGTCAATGGGAAAAGCTTGTTCCCAAAATGTTGCAGTTCACAAAGTCGTAAGGAGTCCAGACACCAGATTTGATCATTAACAGTCAGCAGAGTAGCCAGTGCAAAACACCATAATCTCTAACCTGAAATGTAATAAGTTGTTTGCTTGAAGTTTTGATTTAATATAGAATTAAACAACGAAATGTGCAAATTATCCCCTAAAATTGTTGTGTTGAAGCAAATAACCACCCAAAAAAAGGTTGAGCAATTTGCCATCCCAAATTTTCATTCTTAAGAAATCGGCCCAAATTTAATGGTTGCCATTAAACTTTGTTAAACTATTGCTCTTGAGATTTAACAAAAAGTTAATGATAACCATTAAATTAGGGTATGCATAAATGATATGGAACTGAGGGATTAAGGTTTCAGAAATTAATCATACCCCATTTGAATTTCCCCTGCACGTCCTTGCCACAGATTCTGATATTGGGAATGTGGGAGATCTTGGACCATTCGGGGCCCTTTTTTTTGGTGCAGTTTTCCTCCAATTTGGGACAACCACAAATCCAAAGATATTGTAAGTTGGAGAGGTGTCGCATGGCTTCAATAGAAGGCAAATGAGTCAAATTAGAGCAACCCCAAATATCCAGGCTGTGAAGAGAAGAGAGGTCTCCCAACCACTCTGGCAAACCTTCCAGGCCATCGAAGTTCCCCAGCTCCAATGTCTTAAGGGCAGTGAGATGTTGAACCTGATGTGGCACAGACTTTAGTTTATCCCATCCACCCAATTCTAATTCTCCAAGGGAGCCATGGAGTTGATGAATGGAGTTGAATCCTGGGAATTCCTCCAAACTCTCATCAAGAGGACCTATTCTTAACCTTTTCAAGTTGGTGAGCCTACCTAGCCACTCCTCTGGAATGTGCCTGAATTTAGGGCAGCTATCAATGCTTAAAAATGTAAGAGAAGAGATGTCACCCAGCCAGCTCGGCAAACCTTCCAATACTATGAAGTCCTGTAAAATTAATTGCTTGAGGCCAGTGAGATGCTGAAGCTGAAATGGTAGAGACTTTAGACCAGCCCATTCCTGCAATTCCAATATTTCAAGGGAAGCATGAAGGTTGTGAATGGAAGTGAGTCCTGGGAATTCCTCCAATGTCTCATCAAGACCACCTATTCTTAACTCTTTCAAGCTGGTGAGCCTACCTAGGCACTTCTCTGGAAAATTCCTTAGATTTTGGCAATTTTTTATTATAAGAATACTGAGAGAACACAATTTCCCGATATCTTCAGGAATGGAAATTAAATTAGGGCAACTAATAATTTTCAACTCCTGAAGAGAGATGCAGGATCCAAGCCCAGTTGGTAGGCAAGTTAATTCATTGCATCCATCGAGGCAAAGTATTTCAAGAAATGTGAGCCCATTTAGATATGAGATATCAGTCAGATTTGAACAATGAAGAATCTGCAACTCCTTGACGCAAGGGAACAGCACCTCACCTTTGCCTCCTGCTGCTGCATTCTCATCAACTTCAACCAATTCCACTAAGCTTTCCATAAAACTCAAGAAAAATCTTCTCAAAGATGGGAACAGTGTGATTGAATTTTCCCCTGTACTCAGACTTTTGCTTCTATTGAGACAACCCATGCTTTCTACCTTATCCATCCAGCTAATGTGAAGAAACTGAAGATTAGGCAATAGTCCGAGAGGGGGTAAACATGTGCATTTGTCGCAATTCAATAATGTCAACTCCTCTAGGTTGTCCAGCAGAGATGAAGCAGTATAATTGACCATCCACGACGGGAATTTCTCACCCATATAATAATTAATGCACAAACTTTTCAAATTTGAGTGAGGTTGAAGACCCTCTAGAACTTCCTCATGTTTGTCAATGTTGTTGATGGGGTCCCATTTAAATAGCAACTTGTATAATTCTGTCTTTTCATTCAATCTTGCTTTAGTGGCTTCTGATTTGGATGTTACATTATCAAGGTTCTGAATCTGCAGTCTCCCTCTAAGTCGGCTTAACTCTCCAAGTTCTTCAATCCTAAATCCTTCTTCTCTTCCCACACAGAATTGGGATAGGGTTTGAAGTGAAGTTAATTGTCCAATCCCCTTCGGCATGAGCGTCTTATCATAGAAATAAAGATGCCTCAAGCTAACAAGTTTGCTTGTATCATCAGGAAGCTTTTGAAGATATGAGCACTGCTCAACTTTTAAAGTCTGCAACATGTAGAGCTTGGAGAAAGATTTTGGTAATGCTTTAATATTACTTTTTGCGATTTCAAGGTATCTCAAATGTTTTGATTCATCAAGAGAAACTGGCAATACTTCAGTTTGAGCTCCCACTAATTTTAAAGATCGCAAGTTTTTAAGATCTGACTCCATGCTAAAGGAAACATCACCCTCCAAGAACAAACAATGCAACCTTTGAGAAACACCTCTAGGAAAGGTTGAAAGCACTTCTCTATCATACTTGATTCTCAAATTTCGAATATTAGAATTTATAATGGAACCAATCTCCCAAATCAAAGTTTCACCTTTTGAAACAAACAGAGCAAGATCATGCAACACATCATGCATTGTGCAAACATGAATGTTCTCATATGCATCCCTTTCCACATCTTCGAATAAGAAATTGGATAACAACTCATCAAAGTACTTGTTTCCAATTTCCTCCATTGTTATAGAGCTTTCATTAGATTGTTGAAGAAATCCTCCGGCCATCCACAGCTGAATTAAATCATCTTTTCTAATTTCAAAACCTTTTGGAAGAATTGAACAATAAGAAAAGCATTTTTTCAAAGCAGAAGGCATGCGATCCAAGCTCATTTTTACTACAAACAAAACGTTATTTCTATATTCCAAATTCCATTCTTTATTTGCTCTGATGGCCAACCACTTATCTGCCTCAGTTTGACTGCTCAATGTTCTTCCTAGGGCAGTTGCAACCAATGGCAACCCACCACATTGTTTTGCAAAACAGTGCCCAATAGTGTCTGAAGGTATGGAAGTTTTGGCAGATGAATTAAGAACCACCTCCTTAATTATCATCCAACATTCATCATCTGATAGCCCCTGCATATCATACCTCCTATACATAGGAAGTTCCACTTCTACCATAGATGCTACACCTTTACTACGAGTTGTTAGAACAATAGAGTTCCCATATGTTTTCACAACTTTTGACAAAAGAGAGGTAAAATCATGCCATTTGTTAGGATCTTTCTCCCACACATCATCAAGAATGAGAAGAAAAGTTTTTTTTTCTAATTCTTTGCCTAGATTTTGAAGCAGCACCTCAATTGTATCGGGACGGACACTCCTAATGTTGAAGAATTCTAACATGTCACCCAAAATTCTTTGCTGATTAAAACCCTCAGATGCACACACCCAAGCCACTAGATCATAGAGCTTTTCTTCCTCCGCCTTCATATAAATTAATCTTGCTACTGTTGTCTTTCCAACACCTGGCATGCCAACTATGGAAATGCCAGAGATCGGATGTTGACTCCTTTGGTCATTCAACAAGTTGATAAGTTCTGAGACATCACCTTGTCTTCCAACAACTTTTGAACTATCAAGAAGGTGGACTCTCTCATAATATGGCCTAGCACTTGCAAGATCTAGCTTTCTAAATTGGATAATCAGTTCAATAACTTCTACTTCCTTTCTAATTTCAGACAAAGATGCATTAATAATCATGAATTTTTTAGCCATCTCCAGACCAAAGGCATCAAGATTGAAGGGAGAAATGAAGGTGCCAACCTGTTTCAACTTCTGGTTCCAAGACTCGACTTTTGGCTGAAGATAATGATAGTCACAGTCATCCAGTGTATCCACCGCATCATAAACAGCGTCGTTGAGCTTCTGCAGCCAAAGCCTTATGGCCGGATCACTTTCTTGCATCTCTTCAGCGCCTTCGGCAACAGCTTGAATTGTAGTTAGCAACCGAGCAAGATTCGCAAACTCCTCCTGCAAACCAGGTGCGAGGCTGGCCTGTCTAGCAGCAAATGAAGTTGCTCTGGAAAGTGCCTCTTGCAGCAGAGGGGTGAGAAGGATAAGGCCGGAAGCAGCCATTAATTTCTGAGAGAGAGAGATTATAGCGTTGTGAATTGTGAGCGCAGAGACCTGAGGGCAGCGATTGGACTTATCTTGAAGGTTGCGTCTAAGGAAACGAAATGTAGATGAAGATACATTAATTTCGTAGGCATTTCATTTGAGAACTTTTTAATGTCAATTTGAGGCCTTGAACTTTTCATTTTGAATACTTTTGGTTCCTAAATTATTTTCAGGACTTTTTTTTTTTGGTCTCTCAACCCTGCTAATTGCTCTTTTTTCGTCTTTTCTTCAATTAAATAATGATGTGGCTGTTAATTTAATCCAAAATGATACTTTTTTGACAATGTGACAATGACATATTATTAAATTAAATTAGTTTATGTAGACTCATAGGGCAAAAAATGCTTTTGGTGGGGAAAAAGTTCGAGGCAAAAGAAGAAAACTTTAAGAGCATTTTTATCATTTTGTAATTTTTAATATTTTATTTCATAAAAAATTTAATTGATAAATAATTTTGGCTTTTTAATTTATTATTATATCTATTAAGCTAAAATTATCAATATAAACCCTACTTATTTTGTCCAACTAAGCTAAGGGGTCATTTATAATGGATATGTAATAAAAAAAAAGACGAAAAATAAAATTTAAAAAATTAATGGTTACATCATCACTTAACTAATATGATAACGAAAAAGTGCAATATATAGAGTTAAGAAACAAAAAATAATAATAATAGTTTAGAGGTCATACATGTTCAAAATAAAAAGCTTATAACCTAAATTAGTAGTTGACAAAAAGGACAAATCAGCCCTTATACTTAGTGAATGGTGGCAAATTACTTTATTTGCGTATTATAACGACAAATGAGTTGTGAAATTATTAGTGAAGCTGTACACCGCATAAAGGACAAATTATCTCCTGTAATCAACAAACCAGTACCAATGACTTATTGGTTTGAGTGGAAGAAGCTCAGTTTCCTTTAAATAAAGGTATCGAATTTGAGTCTTGTGAATGGAGAAACAGGTGCTGGGAGAGCTTCCCCTCTAATGGGATCCGACGCGACTCGATTTCAAATTAGTCGGGACCCAAAGTGGTTACCGGATACTAGGAGGTTAATACAAAAAAAAAAAAAAATCAACAAATCAGCCTCTCAACTAAAAATAAAATCAATCCCTCAACTCATCGTATAGTTGTATATCAGTCCTTATTGCAAGGCTGATGTCAGAAGTGCGTTAAATCAGACGGAGACTTCATGGTTCATACTGGCGTGCTCCATTGATGATACGGTGCCGAGATGGAATTCTTTATTACTTTGGCACTAAATTAGCAATTTGGACGAGATTTTCACCCCTGCCCCCTGCCGCCAGTGACCGAAACTCTAATAAACACTAATAATATATTTTTCTATTTCGAAATAATTATTTTTTTAAATTAA